AGGTGAGCGGTAGGTGAGATGTGGTAGGTGGCGGTGCCACATTACAAAATTGCCCTTTTACCTTAGTTCATTAATTGGGGGTCAAAATAACAATTCTCCACCTTGACCCTCAATTGAGAAGCTTCGAAGTAAAGATTCCCTCCACCTGGCCCCTGAGAGGGCCTCAGCCCTTGGTGAAGTTTACTAAGTCCAGACAGTGTCTGAACTTAGTTGTCGGTAGCACCTTGGTGAGCATATCAGCAGGATTTTCTTCAGTAGGTATCTTTTCCACTACTATTGAACCCTTGGCGACGACATCCCTCACAAAATGAAGCTTTATATCTATATGCTTGGATCTTTCATGAAATACCTGATTTCGGGTTAGGTGAATGGTGCTTTGGTTGTCGCAAAACACAGTTATCACCTTCTGATGTATCCCAAGCTCTTCAGTCATGCCCTTTAGCCACATAGCTTCCTTGATTGCTTCAGTCACAGCGATGTATTCGGCCTCTGTTGTCGAGAGGGCCACAACGGATTGGAGGTTAGACTTCCAACTGACTGCAGTACCGAAAACAGTGAAAATGAATCCGGTCACTTCCTGGTGTCAATGCTTGCTTCCTGCATAATCCGAGTCCACGTAACCAACTACCTTTTCTTCTTTGTCTTCCTGACTTTAAATAGTAGACCCAGGTCTGTAGTACCTCTCAGGTACCTCAAGATCCATTTTAGTGCTTCCCAGTGAGCCTGTCCTGGGTTTGCCATGAACCTGCTTACAATGCTAATAGCGTAGGCCAAATCTGGTCTGCTGCAGATCATCTCATACATGATGCTACCAACCCCGTTGGCATAAGGGACACCCTCCATGTACCTTTTCTTTTCTTCAGTCTCTGGTGCTTGAGAGTTTGACAATCTGAAGTGTTGGCCAATAGGTGTTGCAACCTGCTTAGCCTCATGCATGTTGAACCTTGCTAGAACCTTCTGAATATATAACTTTTGAGATAAGAATAAGGTGTCATTTTTCCTATCTCTAGTAATCTCCATCCCTAGGATCTTTGTAGCAGGTCCTAGGTCCTTCATGTCAAATTCAGAATTTAGCATACCTTTGATCTTCTGGATTTCCTCCTTGCTTCTGCTGGCTACTAACATATCATCCACATAAAGAAGCAAGTAGGTACTTATTGCGCCGTCTTGCCACTTCATGTACACGCAACTGTCGTAGCTGCATCTGACAAATCCGATCTTTAGCATGAACTCATCAAATCGTTTGTACCATTGTCTGGGGCTTTGTT